CTCCTACAGTGTGCCATGAAAACTGCCAAGCCAGACTCCTTCTAATAGATTTCTGAATGGCCCTCTGCACTCTGTGGGCAGTGACTATGGTCAGGGTCTGGCCACTGGTTTAGAGTGTTTGGGGAGGGGATAATATGTCTTGTATTTGCACATATTAGATCCAGTGGGGGATTTAGTATTAAAGTTGGATATTAAGTGTTTTTTTTTTTTTTATGATGGGGAAGAGAGGACTTTGAGTTTGGTTGCATGTTCTACATTAATGTTGGATTCAGTTTTTAAATGATGAGGAAAATATTACCAGTCTCCATAGAGTTCGGGGCCCAGGTGGGTGGTTTTATCTCTCATCTACCAAAACTTGCTTGGTACAGATAAAATTGAAAGAAATGAAAGTGAGAAGAAGGAAATAAAATTACTTTTATTATATCTTGATAATATAATCAACTCCCATGAGAAATAAGTGTCCCTACCCTAGCCCAACCAAGAAACTCAGTCATTTATCATGACTTCATTGTGATTATGGCAAAATATTGCTATGTAGAGAAACAAGGGCCACTGATACCCTGTTCCAGGCACCGACTTAAGCTCTTTGCACACGGTCCCTTAGACATCACACGGAACAGTTAAGAGAAATAACTATTACATATTGAAAAGTTAAGTCGGGCTAAGGGATGTAGCTCTGTGGTAGAATGTCTGTCTAGCATGTAGGGAGTTCTGGGTTTTCATTCCCCAGTAGTAAGAGAAAAGAAAACAAAATGATTGGTGAGCAAAACCTCTGTGTATGTGTGTAGCCATTCAATCGTCAAAGTGAACAGACAGATTCTGCCATCATCCATAAGGTGAAGTTTGGAAAAGAAATAACTTAAGACACAGTAGACAGGGACTCACTACGTAGCCTTGGCTGTCCTGAAGTTTGCTGTTTAGACTAGGTAGCTGAGGCTGGCCTTGAACTCCTAAATATCCTCCCGCCTCTCTCTGCCTCCCGAGTGCTAGAATTAAAGGCATTGGTCCCCACATCTGGTCAAAAGCCACCATTTTCAGCTCCCTTCATCTGTTCCTCAACTGGGTGCAGGAAAAGCAGCCACAGCTTCCATAGCGTGGACTAGTGAGAAACCACAGCTCGGCCTCAGTCACATGGTAGAGGCTTGGAGAAATCGCCGCCAGCCTCGGTCTTCTTATCTGAGCACGTGCACGACTTGTGCCTTACCCATCTTACTACACACAGCTGTGGTGATCAGAACTGATAATTAATGCGTCTTTGGAAGCGTTGCATGCATGAGTAGTTCTTATTACATTGTGGTTCTTTACAAAGGTCCGAGGCTTGCCTCTTTTAATGAGAATGTCTTGGCATAGCACTGGGCTAAAATTTAAATATAGGGAAGACAATTCTTTTGAGAGCCATGGAGTAGGTGTTTTCCAGGTACCAAGGGAAATACCATTTCCTGTGTATTTTCTAAGTGCCAGGAACCATGTTGAGAACTCACCTCTCACTTAACTCCTAAAGACCCAGAGGGTAGATGTTGTTTCACAGACGAGGGAACTGGAGCTCAGAGTAGCTCAGCAGTCTGTGCAGCACCATTCAGCAAAGAGGTTAAACTGAGATCGAATCTCTCTGTGTATATGTGCGTCTGACATACATACATGAATTGTGTATGTATGATCAAGCTTGTATGTGTGTATGTTCATAAGCATGCGTGGAGGTCAGAGGACAACCTTGGGTGTTGGGCCTTGCCTTCCAACTTGCGTGAGACAGAATCTCTTTGTTGTTTGCCATGGTGAGGGACAGGCCAGCTGGCCTGCAGGCTTCTGGGGGGGAGTCTCCTATTCCTGCCTCCTGTCTCAGCATAGCAGCATTGGCTTATGTGGGTTTTGTGGGTTCTAACTCAGGTTGCCACACTTGTGCAACAAGTGTTTACCCACTGAGCCAACTCCCCAGCCCAGGATTCAAATCTTCATGTTCTTGGTGCTCATTCTAGAAAATTGCCTCTGAGGCGGAATGGGACAGAAGTAGAAGGCCCAAGTCAGGAGTCTCAAGCCTTAAATGATTCGGAGAGTGGGACTTAGGTGGCAGGAAGGTCAGCCACAAAACAGAAATAACAAAAGCTTATATTTAGTTTTCCATAGTCTGTCATTTAAAAAAGTTTATTTTAGCCAGGCATCGTTGCACTGGCATAGGAAGGTGACTTAAGTATATAAGTTCAAGGTCAGCCTGGGCAATATAGTAAAAAATAGTTTTTTTTTAATTTAAAAAAAAAATCTGGCCAGGCAGTGGTGGCACACGCCTTTAATCCCAGCACTCGGAAGGCAGAGGCAGGCAGATCTCTGTGAATTCAAGGCCAGCCTGGTCTACAAGAGCTAGTTCCAGGACAATCAGCACCGTCACACAGAGAAACAACAAACAACAAACAGAGTCTGTGTTATCTTTGCCAAGTTCCCAGGGAGAGGAATGGAGAGTAGGATAAAGAATTCTCCATGTTTTGCTTGGCTAGCCAGGGCTACATGAAATCTTGTCTCCACCCTCTCCTCAATTCCCTCCCTCCCCAGTCAAAAACAACTCACAAAGGAATTGCACCCACTTGGAAGTGCGTGCATGCAATTCCAGCCCTTGGGAACTGAAGCAGGAAGATAGCACCTTCCAGGCCAGCCTGGACTACAGCGCCACACTGTGTTTCACAGATGAGCCAAACTGTGGCCTACCCAGTTCACTGTGCCAGCCAGCGGGCAGAACAGAACAACAGGCATGGACGGTCAGGTCGCCTTCGAGCATTTGGGGACAAGTAAGACTCGGCTTGCTATCTGGCTTCTGGGAACCTTGGGCTCTGCTCCCAGGTGCAGCTAGGCTTCCACCTAGCTTCCACGGGCTTCCACCTAGCTTCCACGGGCTTCCACCTAGCTTCCACGGGCTTCCACCTAGCTTCCACGGGCTTCCACCTAGCTTCCACGGGCTTCCACCTAGCTTCCACGGGCTTCCACACATTCACCTCCCTCCTAGCCAAGTGCTCAACCTCTGAGCTATGGCACCTCCATCTTCTTCCCTTCCTCTCCCTTCCTTTCTTGTGGACACAGGGTCTTGCTGTGTATATTCCTGACCTTAAAAGACACCTTGCTGGACTTCATTCCAGTGGTTCTCCACCTTCCTAATGCTGTATCCCTTTAATACAGTTCCTCATGTTGTGGTGACCACACCCACCAGCAAACTGTAAGTTTGGTACTGTTATGAACCGTAATGTAAATATCTGGTATGCAGGATATCTGATAGGTGACCCCCCAAAGGGGCCTCAATGCCCAGGCTGAGAACTATTAATTTAGTCTATTATTCATGGTCCTTGCTCCTCAAGGTTTAAACCTATTCTGACTCCTCCAGTTCAGAATGTCCCTGACACTAACGAGTCTCTTCAGGCTGAGGTCCTGACGGAAAGGCAAGGACACTCAGCCTAGTGCAGAGCTGGGTTTCCAAGCCATCTCAGCTGCGTGCTGGTTCCTGCCTGGCTGTATCAACCCCTAGGAACGAACAGTGCAGGAACTGGGGGTCCTACAATCAGTGATTCCCTGCACACACGTGCAACCAATTGACATAGGCAAAGTTCTGGAGTTAGAATCCAGAACACAGTTAAACTTGCATTTGCTGCCTAAAAAGATAAAAGCGCAAAAGGGAGCTAAAGCTTCAGAATTCTTGGCTGGCCTCAGAATTACTTTTGCTAATGGGGTTAAGACGTTGCTTTTCCATTAGACAGGAAGGTCAGCGCGCTCAGGGAAAATTGGACTGATCACCTAACCTCTGTACGGACAGTGTCTCACCTCCAGAATTGGGACAGACCTGATGTGAACTGGGTGAAAGTGCTCCGGAGTAACACAGGCCTCAGCATAAGGAGATTGGGAAGCCAAAGGGCAGAGGCATGGATTCCTTTTTAGACTCCAGTATTCCTTAGTATTGCTATTTATGAGTTCTCAAAGCATTTTCTGAGGTCCATTGTTACCTAGCACTGACTTTTAACCAACAGAGTAAATCGCAGGGTCACTATGCACCGTGACACAGGCACTTGTTCCCAGAGTCCACTTCTGCACGTCATGGACTGCAGGGAAAATTATACACCCCTCTACAAAGACTTGATTTTCCCTTCTACCTGAGACTGTCCACAATGAAGGCAAAACTCCCACCCGTAGAGTCTTCCAGAAATTCAGGGTTGACGGCTCGTATTCTCACAGATAGTGAGGCACAGCGTTGGGCGGGAGTCTCCTAACCTCACTGCACCTTCTCTACTGAAGAAAAAAAAGAGCCATAATACACAATAATATCACTAACAATGGCGGCTAATACTGTATATTATTATTAGAAGTTAGTCTTCTAAGCTTCATGTTAATCCATTTAACTAGAGGGGGAAACATGGTACAGCATTCTTTTAATTAAAGTAGCCCCCTGCGAAACAATGTTTTTTTTCTGTCTCTTTCTCAGTTGCATGACACTGCAACCCGAAATCACAACTTGAGGTTCCTGGTGGTGCCCGCTTCCTCTTCTAGTTTGTTTAGTCACAGAATTCGATTCCTGTTGGCCGATTCCGCGCCTGCAAACAGGCTTAGCGCTCTATTGAAATGCGTGGGGCTCCTTAATTCTTGTATAAACAGGTAACCCGAGGGGTGGGGCGGGGACCGCGGCCCTTGGGTGGGTTTCTTGGGAGTGGGGATGGGGTCGGATCTGGAGCCAGCTTCCCAGTGGTCGGAGGCCAGGCTAAAAGAGGGCTTGGCTGTAGCTTCTCCAGGCACTGTTTTTGTTCCCTTTCTAGAAACCAGCTGTAACACTAGGTCAGAGCGCATTAAGAATGAGCCACTTTGAACGAGTGGCGCCCAGGCCCCAGGCCCTGCTGTGAAGGCCCCGGCAAAGGTCAGGGTTTGGGCCCTGTGACGTGCCTGCTGGTGCTCTGCGAGCCAAGCTCAGCCCCAGGTAAGGACAGCTCGGGAGGTCCCGGCTTCCTGCAGGCCCGCGGCGGGGCTCGCTGCTGCCCTACCTGCTCAGCGCCTTCCTGCCCCGCGAGGCCGGTGGGGTGGGGTAGTACTGCTCGCCTGGGATCCAGGCGGCGTAGGGTCCTTAGTCCTCGGGTGGCTTACTCTGTACAGCCCCAGGCGGCCGGAAACCACTCTCCCAGATGTCCCCGTGTGGGGCAGGTGCCACTTCTGGGGTCCCTTCTGGATGTCTGAAATGGATGCGACTTTTTTAAGCGGCCAAAGTTCCTAAATCTTTTCATCGGGGCCAGTTCGTCATGATTTTTTTCTTTTAAAAAAAACCTTCAGCTAAGGTATCTGCGCTCCTAAAACAACAGGAATGTTGCACTGGCCTTCGGCCAGCGGAGGCTCAGCGAGCTGGATAAAATTTCAGTACAGATTTACGGGAAGTTGCCGGTGTTGGGAGTAAAAATCTGGTTTGGTGAGTTTAAGGGAAGGGAGTATACTAGACAACCTTGCTACTGTGAGGCGAATGGCCTCGGCTGGGGGAGGGCAGGAGGCGGAGGGAGGGAACCGGGAAGAGCCGGGATTGCAGAGGCACAGATTGCTGCCGGACTCCGCCGCGCGCTCCGCGGGATCCGACCCCGCGCCGCTCTGTCCGGGCCACAGCCGCCCCGCAGCCCGCTCGTACAACCCAGTCCCGCAGGTCGCCGAGCGCCGGGACCCCGAGAAGCCAGGCTCTGGGTTGGGGAGTTTCTCTCCTCAGGTCGCCCAGGTTAAGAAATTGTGACAATCTGGAATTCCCAGTGCCCGAGAGAGTTAAAGCCTAGAGCGAGCGATCTGTTGCTTTAAGCTACACGGTGGGAAGGAGCTTGGAGTCTCCTTAAAGTTGGTTTTCTGTTTAAAAGAGGGCAGCCAGAGAAGATGTTGTAGATGGTTGCCTAGCCCGGCCGTGAAAGGTGTTAATTTCTGAAGTGGGCGACGCCGAGTACTTACTGAAGGTAAGGTGGACTTTTGGCAGTCCTGACAACTGTCCCCGAATCTTCCATAGGGTCCTGATTTTTGCAGAAATTTTTGTCTTTCTCTTTTTCTTTCCTCTTTAGTACTAACTCTCATTTGACCGCCTTCCTTCTTGAGTGGGAAGTTAAAGGGTTTCTAAAAAGATTTTTAAAGCGTCAGCTTTTGGAAAAGCAGATAATCACACAGTCAGCCGCTTCATGTTTCCTGTAAAAAAAAAAAAAGTGCTTTGAGGCACAGGTGACTAGCCGGGATTATTAGCGTGAGATTTCGGAATTTCAGGTGACTGGGGCTTCTGATTTAAGTGCTAACCAAAGCAGAGGGGGGTCTTCCTGTAGACCTTCACCTCTGAAGGCCTCCGCTTTGCTGTTGTTTTCAGTGGAAAATTCAATCTGGAGAAACGAGTGTGACAGCTGACAAGGTCTGCCATTCAGGGGTGTTTAAGAAATCCATGCAAATGAATGGAAGTAGAATTTTTCCGATAAATGACTCTCTAATTAGGTAAAAGTTGACTGGCAAGCTAGTACCGTCCTAAGCACTTTGGGATGTGGCTTCCTAATATTAAGTCTTATCAAAGCGATGAAAAAAGAAACGGTGTCTTCTAGGCACTTAAGGGCCACTTTTGATTTGTTTTTGTTTTTTCCATTGCTTATTTGAATTAAAAGCCAAACTTCTTTCCCTTCCAGTTAGCACGTTAGTGACTCCCTTAGGAGTTTTTCTTGGGAGGGTTACCAATGAAAGCTGTGTTCTTTATTCCCGTGAGGTCTGAGGTCCCCTACCCCATGGTGTTCAAGTTGTCTACTGACGCCCACTCACGGTAGTGGCACCCCTCCAATCAACCAATTAATTAATAAATTTAATTAAATAAATAATACAGATGTACTCTTAGGTCAGGCATGGTGGCTTATGCCTTTTATTCTAGCACTAAGGAGGCCGAGGCTGGGATTTGGAAGGTTTAGGGCCGCTGGGAAGCAAGGCCTGGTGGCTCACGCCTTGAACCCCAGCACTTGAAAGTCAAGGGCAGGAGGCTCTGTCTGAGTTCAAAGTCAGCCTGGAATACAAGCAAGTTCCTGGCCAGCTGGGACTGCACAGGGAGACTCTATTTTAAATAGGTTTTATTTAAAATAGAATAAAAGACCAACCAAACAAACAGTAAGAAAGAGTCTTACTGCCTAAGTCAGCCTAAGGAAAGCAAAGGGCGGACCACACAACTTGGAGGGTAGGGGTTTGATCACCAAAGGGTGGTTGGTCGTCAGCACAGAAGTGTTTGAGAATTGCAGATGTAATGACCGCCATATGATTATTTCGTTACTGCTTCACAACTGTAATTTTGCTACTGTTATGAATCGTAATGTAAGTATGTGATGGGGGGCTGCCGTGAAAGGGTCATTCGACCCCCATAGGGGTCATGAACCACAGGTTGAGAACCATTGCTCTAGCTGGACCAGAGCCCCCAGCCAAGGGGAGAAGGTAGCATTTTGTGGGGTTCAGGCAGCCACTCGTTTATACGGTAGTCTCTCAGAGCCATACGTGATGGCTTTGGGGGTGCTGCTGAAAACACAGCTGTCGGGGGCAACTGACAGAAGAAAGGAAGGAGAATTTGGGTTCTTGTATTTTCTATGTTTTCCTTGACCTTCCCCTTGCTCTGCTGGGGACACTGGAGGCCTCTGGCCCACCTTCGCCTGACTAGAGAGAATGCACTCATTTCTTCTAGAGCGTTTGCAGTCCGAGCTCCAGTGCCACACAGGAGATGTTGTCCCCCATCTGAGGACTGAACTCGGGTGTCTAGTGCACCAGGCCAGTGTGTTACCCCCAACTACATTCCCAGCTATCTTAATTTCATTGTATATTTATTTTATTTTATTATTTTATTTATTTATTTATTTTAATTTTTTTTTTTTTTTTTTTTTTTTTTTTTTTGGTTTTTCAAGACAGGGTTTCTCTGTGACGTTGGAGCCTGTCCTGGAACTAGCTCTGTAGACCAGGTTGGTCTCGAACTCACAGAGATCCGCCTGCCTCTGCCTCCCAAGTGCTGGGATTAAAGGCGTGCGCCACCATCGCCCGGCTTCATTGTATATTTATTGAGGTAGGGTTCTTTGCATTGTCCAGGCTGGCCAAAACTTGTGAACTTCCTGTCTTAGGCTCTTGAATAAGTGGAGTTATAAATGTCTATAACTCGAAAAAACAAGCAAACAACAACAACAACAAAAAAAAACACTTGTGCCAGCAAGTGTACTTTTTTAAAATCCAAATTCTTAATATAAATAGAATTATCTTTCTGTCCATTATTGCCTTGTCAGAAATGTGTAGGATTCAGAATTTAGCGGTGTTATTTTATGACAGTCTTCAGTTTTTAAAGACTTTTTAGATTTATTATTATTATTATTTTATGTGTATGAGTTTTTTGCCTACGAGTGTCTGTGCACCAGATGTGTATCTGGTGCCTTCAAAAGCCAGAAGAGGGAGTGAGTCCTCTGGAACTGGAATTCCAGAGGGTTGTGAATCTCCATGTGGGTCCTGGGAATTGAACCTAGGTCCTCTGGAAGAGCAGCCAGTGCTCTTAATCAGTGAGTCATCTCTCCAGCCCAAAGATGTACATTATTTGTGTGTGTGTGTGTGTGTGTGTGTGTGTATGCTGCATGTGCGTCTAAGGAGATCAGAAGGAGTCACTTGTGAGCTCACTGTGGGGGCCGGGATCTAAACTCTGAAAGTTCTTAGGAAGAGCGGCCAGAGCTCTTGACCTCTGGGCCTCCTCTTCAGCTTGTGCAGTGTTTTGTTTTGTTTGTGTATGTATGTGCACAAGTGTGCAGGTACCCGAGGAAAGAGGAGAGTGAGGCAGATTCTCTTGAGTGGAAGTTACAGGCAGTTGGGACCAACTCAGTGTGAGTGTTGGGAACTGAACTTGGGGTCCTGATATGCTCTTAACCCTTTAGCCACCTCTCCACAGCACTCAACAGTTTTCTTTAAAGTAATTTAATTTTTGTGTGAGCACATATGTGTGTGCATGAATAAGCCCTGGTGTATATGTAGGGGCCAAGTGACAACTTTGTGGAGTTAATTCTCTCTTGCACCTTTTTGTGAGTTCTGAAACTGAACCTATGTTGACAGCGCCTTTACCTGCCAAGCCATCTCTCCTGCCCTCTGTAGTTTAAGTAATCAGCAGACTGACTTTTTTGAGACAGGGTCTCACAGTCTAGCCCATGCTGGCTTACAACACCTGGTTCTGCCTCAGCTGCTCAAGTGCTAGGAGACACTCTATTTAGGAGACAGAGTTCTACCTTGTGGCTAAGGCAGTTGGTGGTACTGAGGATTTAAAAAAAATCAAGGCAACAATGTTCTTGGATCCATGTTCTCTATACTTATTGAGTACTTAGGGCTTAGTCTCTTCACCTATTCAGTACTTAGAATTTAGTTTCTACCCATGTTTTGTATTTTTAGTTTTTTTTTTTCTCTATACTCACTGAGTACTTAGGACTGGAAGTTTTAGACTGGGCTACATGGTAGTCACAAAACAAAACAAATTAAAAGATTACGTTCATTTTTTTCACATGACAAGAATATGATGATTAAACTTTTTCATTTACTAGTACAATGTTTTGTTTTGTTTTGTTTTGTTTTTGGTTTTTCGAGACAGGGTTTCTCTGTGGCTTTGGAGCCTGTCCTGGAACTAGCTCTTGTAGACCAGGCTGGTCTCGAACTCACAGAGATCCGCCTGCCTCTGCCTCCCGAGTGCTGGGATTAAAGGCGTGCGCCACCACCGCCCGGCCTAGTACAATGTTTTAAGTAACGATTTTTTGAAAGGTTAATGTAAATAACATTTTTCTTACATAATGATTGGATTCACTTTTCAGCTTCTATGCTCTTTACTCCCAGGTGCTGGGCAACCCAGGGCCTTAGAGATAGTAGACAAGTCACTCTACCACAGAACCACCCCCTCTCTCCATCCTTAAAACTGTTGATTTTTGTGTTTCTTTTTCTTTAGAAGTGAGTTCTCACTATGTAGCTGAGGTAGGCCTCCAATTTTTGTTAATCTCCCTCCTTAGTCAAGGCTAGCCCAGTTTCCCAGAATGACCTTTTTTTTGGTTTTTTAAGACAGGGTTTCTCTGTGTAACAGCCCTGGCCATCCTGGAAAACGCTCTTTGTAGACCAGGCTGGCCTCGCACTCACAGAGATCCACCTGTCTCTGCCTCCCGAGTGTTGGGATTAAAGGCCTGTGCCACCTCTGCCCAGTTCAGAATTAATACTCCTAAGCTCAAGATCAAAAGCAAATTACATTCCAAGTGATTGAGCTTTGACTGGCATAGAAAAAGATCTGCTTGTGAGATAGTGCTTACTCAAGACTTCTTCCCGCTTTTCTGGATTGTCAAAGGTTAATATTT